TTATGTTATAAGTCCCATGTAATAGGGGGTGAGCCTATTGCCATATACCGGGCACATTTCCAGACTCCGTGCTACTACTGAGATTTTTGAAAAACCCAGTAATACTTTGCTCGACCCGGGAATCGAACCCGAGACCCCTTGCCCGGCAGTCGCACTTGCGACCACTCGGCCAACGAGGCAGTCTTAAAAAGTACATAGAGGTATAACTCGGAAAAAGTCACATTGGTACCTACTTGCCGTTGGTAGGTTTCGGACCCGCACACTCATGCATGAGAAGCGAGCGTCTTCAACCCCGGGCCACAACGACTATTAGAAGAATTTTAGAATTTATTACATACAAAATAAAATCACATTTCTGTCCGTATGTATACAACTTGAAAATGTTGCAAAACTAGAAATTATCTCAAGTGCTGATTACATATATCTGTTGGTATATAAATCATGTTATCAAGATTATAAATCTCATGTCTCAAGTGCAAATCATATGTCAAGTATTAAGACCTACATAGGTACTACATACCTGCCTTTTTTTAAGGGGGGAAAATCATCGAATGGCTGCTCCCGCCTGGGTGAGGCGGAAGGGAGTGTCAGACTCTTACTGACTAAAAACTACCCCGTTCCTTCTCCTGCACGTCGAACTGGAGCCCCGGTAATGTCGTCACAAGTTTATCAGGGAGCGCTGCTGTTCGGACACCCTTGGCAAGAGTTGGGTGGCAAATGCATCTGCCGTTGCCAAAAGTCAAAGTCAAAATCAAAATCATTTATTAAAATTAGACCAGGAAGGAACTTTTGAACGTCAACTACAAAATATTTAAATTTTAAATAACTAGCTTTTACCCGCGGCTTCGCTCGCGTCACAAAAGGATAAAAAGTAGCCTATGTGACTACCCATCCGTTCAACTACCTTCAGTTCAAAAATCACGTTAATTAGTACCTCCGTTCTGCCGTTTAAGACAGGCAAACAAACAAATAGCTTTCCGCTCGCGTAGAATTCGGTTATATCGCGCTATTTACATTTTTCCAATAAGTAGGTAATTCGTTGACTGGTTTTAAATGACGTATAACGCCATCTATACCCACCCGTACATACAGCGCCATCTATACCAATATTTTTGTTTTTCCTAGGAAATATCGACTTTTCCGGGATAAAAAGTACCCTATTATTTAATCCAGAATTCTAACTTTACGTCTGCAAAATATCAAAGCAATCGGTCTAGTACGGTTAGTAGTTACGGCGTGAAGGCGGAACAAACAAACAAACTCACTTTCCAACTTATAATATTAGTAAGGATTAAATAATAATAAAAAATGACAGTCTGTATGTCAGTCCTCTAGTGAAGCTATTTGCTCGTTCCAAAGTGTAGATTCCTATGGAGAAGAACGAGCAAGAAACTCCATGCCAGACGGCAACACATCGTGTCCGATACATCAATTGCTTACTGCGTGTTCTATTAAGGACCTAATAAAGGCCAACACGTCTAATCAATAATTCTCTAGAGTATGAGTCATACTTCACGTGGGCGGGGATAGAAATAAGTTTTTGCTCGTTCATACGCATATGAAAAATCCTCCACCATGTCGCGAGAACTAACTAGTCTAAACCTAAAGGTTTAGAACAGGATGTCTACTCAGCAGTGCTAGCCAAATGCCAATTAGCGCTTGTCTACAGAGAGTGTAGAAAACTAAATGTATGGGGATGACACTGACAAGTGTCAAAATTTACGTCAATCCCATATAATTTGGTTTTCTATTCTATACTCCGTCTGTTTAGGTAGTTAACTATTTGTAAACAAACCATAAAAAGAGTTCTTTATAGTTGACATTTCCATGATTCAAAATACTTCATAAGAAAATAAAATTGTTTCCGTTTTTACGACAGTTTTCTCTATTAAATGTTATGTTTCTGTTCCTTTTCACTTATTTCTTAGTAAATATTATAATTATAATTATTAAATTAATATCCTCAAGCAGATATATAATATATATCTGCTTGAGGATATTAATTTAATAACATTTATTAAATAATATAATATTTCATTACAATAGACACCATAAAGAGCCTAAAATCCCAGGTATCCAAAACTTTTCTTTAAGAACGAAGCAAAATAATGTTGTCAAATTAAAGAGTACAACTAAGATGTAGCGCGACAATGAAAGTAGCGTGTATTACGTTTAGTCGGTTAATCAGGCGCCATTGACAGCTCTCTCGTCGTTTGCGCTCGCGTTCCTATTTTGTTGAATTTATCTTGTTTCTTTGTTTTGTTTTCGTTATTAAGTTATTCAAGTTTAGGTTATTCATCGTTTGTAATTAATGTGTTCAAATATTTTGAAGAAACTTGGCCCAAAGACTCATATCCGTACAAGAAAGAAATCCGTACATCAGATTCAGAATAGTTTCTATTTAAACATGATAATGAAATAGACCCATAGGCAAGGCTCTTGTACGATTTAGGCATTTGTAGTTGTGTTGTGTGTATGACAAATGAACGAGTTTAAAGTGAATTTGGTTAAAATTAAAACACGAGAAATATTAGAAGTAATAGTAGGTTAAGTATCTCTGTGTCACGTGGTTTTCTTTGTTTACCTTTAGTTAATTACCTAAACAGATGGACTATACATGTAGACAAGCGCTAAGTGGCATTTGGCTACAGCTGCAGATTCGACGAAAAACGAAGTTTCGGACGAAACTTCAAAGATTACCTACCACAATGACATATAAACGAACGAAAAATGAATGAACGAAACAAGCCAGAAATTAGTATGAGATGTACTGTTTGACGTCGATATTTTCGGAACCCTACTCTAATTGTACAATCCGCACGAACGAAAATTCGAGTTTGACAGATTATTCTTCGGACGTTTAATGTCATTTCGACGAAACCAAAATAGTTATCGTTTGATTTTCGTTTGGGTTAAATTTTATTAAAAAATGAATGGAAGTAATTGCAAGTCTTCGTTTTATCACGGTTTCTTCGTGTGGGCAACACGTAGAGCACCAAAGAAACCACTTAAATGACGATATAAAATCAATGTACAGTCAGCTCAAATAGTTTGTTAACACGAACCTATATGTTTTATATGTCTATGAGAGTTAGTAACATTTAGGGTAATCAAATACTTATTTGAATACCTTATGTATTGTACATAAATGTTTCATGTGTAATGTTTTATTTTAAAACTCATATTACCACTAGAAAAATAAACTTAAGTATTGCTAGTACATATTTTCGCTATTCTTTCAAATCTATTAATATAACAAAATTTATAAGTAAGATAAATTCTTTCAAAAATATATTGTTAATCATCATAACATGAAATAATTTTTTATCTTCAAATTCTCAAGTAGACATTTAAAATTTTTAACTGACTGTACTAATATAATAAGAATAAATTTGGTTGTCATTTTTTTATAAATAAATGTCAATAAATGACAATGACAACATTCTTAAACTTTTTAATTTGGTCGTATAATATATCTCTGAAAGGAGGTTTTTATCCTGTTTAAGATTTTCCATCTTAAACATTAATATTAAAAGCTTATTCATGATTTTCTTGATGATTATGTGTGCTAAGATGGTGCTAAGCCATGACATTATGATTTGAGTTATATAATTACTTAAAATAAAAGTTTATTTTTAATTTCGAATCTAAACCTTTTTATTGCCTATTTATTTATGTTCACTTCATTCGTTCATTGTAGAATTCATTCGTTCACGAAAGTTGTCTATGGTTCCGAAAACGTTGTTTGCGGCCGCAAATCAAACGAAACTTCGCATTCGAGAACCGGAGTAGACCTCCAGATATAAAACAGACACCCGCAACACCAGAGGAGTTACAAGTGTAACTGTGTGTTGTATATGTATATGTATCAGATGATAATGTATGCTAGGTTTATTCCGTATACCATAAAAAATCCTCAATCGGTACTACCCTATACACGTCACACGCCTGACGCAGGTCCTCACCGGACATGGAAGTTTCGGGAGGTACCTGTGTCTGATGGGGCGGGAGGAAACGCCCGGGTGTCATCACTGCGAGGACCACCCTGAGGACACGGTGGAACACACTGTTGCGGAATGCCCTGCGTGGGCTGAGCACCGCCGTGCCCTCAGGGAAGTGATCGGCGATGGAGACCTGTCGCGTCCGGGCCTAGTTCAGGCCATGATGCGGAGCGAGGGGGACTGGGATGCCGTCTCCTCCTTTTGCGAAGCAGTCATGCTGGCTAAGGAGGAGGCGGGACGCGTGAGGCAGCGAAGCGCTGCCTCCTCGCAACCCAGCCATCGCGAAGGACACACCGGGCGTCGGGGATCGCGGGACGATCTCCGGCCACCGTAAGCGCGGGCCTGCGGACGGCGAGCATGGGTGGCTCCCCGTCCGACCAGAAACAGACCCGAGCGTACGGCGCGTCGCGTTCCGCGCGCGCCTCAAAGAGCCATCAGACCACCACAGATGGGGCCCAATAGGGCCGATGCCGATTCGGAGTCGCGGAGAACCTAACGGGTAACCGGGGCTCCGGCTCGACGTGCAGGAGAAGGAACGGGGTGGTTTTTAGTCAGTAAGAGTCTGACACTCCCTTCCGCCTCACCCGGGCGGGAGCAGTCATTCGATGATTTTCCCCCCTTAAAAAAAAAAAAAAAAAAATACACGTCACACAGCTAAGTACAAGCCATAGTTACAGCTGTGTACAGTTTGTCATTCTCTCAGCCTACACTAGCACGCTACATGTCACACAGCAGCACTAGCAGTATTTACAACAGTGTACAGTCCGTCACTCAGTCTCCGGTAACGGGAGATTTTTATTTTATAAAAGAATATTGATTAGTTAACGGTTCCTTTATAAACGTAACACAGGTCACAAAAAATATTCTAAACATGTTTTTTTTCTTTACAGTAACGATGGAACACGATGATCTGAACGAAATATGAGACAACGCCATCTACCGGCCAATGGGTGGACTACGTAAGATGCAACTAGCTCCATCTATTGATCGATAAACGAGATGCCACGCTTAAAATATGCGTCGGTTGCCAGAGTTGTTGTTATACTCGGGCTCTTTTGTCTATGGCTACAGATTATGCTTTCCGCGTCTACTGGCGGCATGTACAGAGATGGAGGTATGATATTTTTGTTTATTTTTTTTGTATAAATTTTCTCAAAATTACTCACGAGTTAAAATATTGACCTGTGAACACGATAACGACTGTTACTCTGCTTAACTACAACTGTCGCATAATAGACAAAGTAGTATTGGGTTTTTCATTATTTTAAACACAATATTCTAAAACTAACTTTGCGTAAACGAATGATATCCCTTGGTAGGATTATGGGCCCCGGTATAGCTAGAAACTAGTTGAGCATCTTCGAATTTATGCAAGTAGTAGACAGTACTTAGATATGTATATTTTTATTAACAGCACGGAATCCTGTGTATGACTATTTTACACCCTATTATATGGGACTTATAACATACCTGCCCAAAAATGGGTGCTACATGGTGCTACATCTATCTACCTCTTTAGGGAATTACCATTTTGACCGCCGCGGTCGGGTATAGCCGACAAACTAAATGTATTTTAAAATCATGTTTTCTTTTCGGCTTTGGCCAACTGTGACAGATCACGCCATATTTTGTTTGTTATAGCCGACCGTGGCGTTCAAAAGGATTAGTTCTGTTACATTATCTATTTTACTAATTACAGGTGAAGACAATATGATACAGGTGCAAGGGATGTTGGTCAAAACAAACCCAATTCGTACTGAAGGTTTTCAATTTAATTTTGTGTTTTTTTTTGTACGTATGTTTTTTTTTTGGGTGAATGGGATAGAAATGGACAAGTTTTGCATTTACACCGCCGATGGTCGAAACTCCATGTTTTCATAATGTTGGTTTTCGGTTCAACCATTTGGTATAAAAACAAGCCTAGTTGCCAGAGTAAGAAAACAAAAAGTCTAATTAGTCCGTCAGTTAGATAATGAAAAAGTATTAGACACATATTTTTTTAATTTTTTCGTATACAGTTACAATACTTAGATAAAACGGCGTAAAGTTTAGGAGTGGGAGGTCGTTACGTCATAACGTGCTACAAAATGTGACACGTTGTGACGTCACACGATATTTCAAATTAATATATCGTCAAAAGTATTTAATTTTGTGAGAAAAGAAAAAATACGTGTCTAATGTTTTAAATTAATCTACCAGACGAAACTACCCTATTGTTGCGTTTTTTTTTGGGTATAGGCCGGCAAACGAGTAGACGGATCACCTGATGGTGAGCAATCAGCGCCGCACAACACCAGAGAAGTCAAGTGCATTGCCGGCCGTTTGGGGCTAGGGACTTGAGGATTAGGTGTTTGGGGGTGGGGGGAATACAGTGCGTTGGTGGCTGTTTAAGGACTAGGGATTTGAAAATTGTGGGTGGAGGGAGGACTAGGCTCACGGTAACATGTTTAGAATCTACCAAATGACGACTATATCGGACACGTGTCATTTTTTGCACTCATGTGTAAGTAGTATATTATGTATCTTGTGACCACTCGAGCTGGTTTAGGTCATAGGTGAAGGGTATTTCCATGTATTTATATACAAATATTTTATTATTGGATTTCATTTTATTATTTTGGTGGATTCTATTGTTACTTTGTTTTTAGTTTAAGCATACCTATTTTTTGCAGACATTACTCAGGTACATATTATAAAGTCAATCAATCTTCATTCTTCTGATTGGACAGCTTAGTTGTAACTGTCAATCATTATCATCATCATATCCACCACAGGACGTCCACTGCTGAACATTGGCCTCCCCCAATGACTTCCAGATGGGCCGGTTGGAAGCTCCATCCAGATTCCAGAATCCAACTTTCAAAATGAGCTAGATCGCATTCTTGCCCGTCATTGATCGAGAATATTCTCACAAGCAATGACATGGCCGACCGCGGTCATAGCATATCTTTTTGGTTGAGGAAAGAAAATCATCCAATGACTTCTCCCGCCTTGGGTTAGGCGAGAGGGAGTGTCAGACTCTTACTGACTAAAACCACCCTGTTTGTACTTCTGCTCTTCGAGCCGGAGCCGCAGAAGGCAACCCGTTAGGCCTTCTGCGGCTCCGTATCGGGCATCAGCCCTACTGGGCCCCATCTGTGGTGGTCTGATGGCACTTTGAGGCGCGTGCAGGTCGCGACGCGCTGTCCTCACGGGTCTGGTTCTAGGTGCTTACTCTTGAAATCTCAATGTCAATGCAATTTTAATCCAATAAAATCTCAATAATTACTCAATGTCAAACCTATACAACCCATTCGTAGCTGTTATAATAGCATTCAGAGTACGGAATTTAAAGCCAAATTCAATACCATTTAGTTCATTAAATATCCACGCAATACGGATGCAATGGGCGTTAGTGTTGCACGTCAAGAGTACAAAATTTCACAATACCATTGTCGATCGATCGGAATTGGATTCAAGAGTAAGCCCCCTGGTCGGGCGGCGAGCTACCCTTGCTCGGAATAACCTAGCTGTTGTATTATTTTAGTAGAAACATACTCTTGTATATTAACATCTTCTAAGTACTATTTTAATAATTTTCAGATAACATTACCGTTACGAATAATATTTTGGATTCTATACCGCTGCCCTTACCACTCAAAGGTTCAATATTATTTTGTTATTATTTATTTTTGTGTTCGTCTTCATTATTTAGTGTACACAAACACGCTATTATCAGTTTCATGTTCATTTTTTACTTAGAGCCTTATCATACTAGCGGTTTGGAAGCGGCTCCTGGACGGTGCGGACGCGCAGGCAATGCATCGCGAACACGCTGAGTCTGCGCAAAGAACACGTCACGGACGAATGGCAACTACGTTACCTTTTCGTCGCGTGTTTATAGCAAAGTATTGCCGTAGATGCGTAGAATATTGACGTCCAATTTTCTGATAGCGGCGAACCCGTTGCGCGCCCGCAACGTGTCAGAAAATTCTCTGCGCATACGCGGCGTGTTCGTTATGTGTGCGTAACGAGTTCGTTGCACGTTCACGCCGCTTTAAAGACGTTTGCAACCCGCTAGCTAGTATGATAAGGCCCTTACGATACCTTGATGTAATATTGAGTATATTTGTGTTCTTCAAATCAGCTCCTTATATAAAACTTATACACCACAAGTCGTATGCCGACTGTAGAGTAGACATATTCATCAAAGATATATTAGCTATTGTTTACATTTGGCAAAAAAGAGTTTGGCATAATAGAGGGCGCTAGTATCGTACCTGTGGCAACCTGGTACACTACGACTCAACCGGTTTTGTTATTTGTTATTTTTATCGAGTTTAAAAAGAGGAGGTACTGTGTTCGGATGATTGTTTATTCATGGGATGTGGTCCGAAGTGGGTGATTCAGTCAAGTCTATATTAGTTGCAGCTGTCACCGCGTCAAACTCTTTTATGCCAAGCTGTATATTGTATGCTTTATAACGAAGCCATATCTTCTGTAAATCAGTCGGCTCTAGACGACCAATGGTTACTGTCTCTTTACTGAATCAATCTTGGTTTTCTTACCTGCATACTTAATAATTTGGTTCGTTGTATATCAGTTCTCTGTTAAATGTTAGATTCGCCTTTTATTCATTATTAATACTATCGTAGTTCACCCCCTATTACATGGGACTCATAACATAAATAGTGTAAAGTGGGTGTTACATTGTACAGTGGCATTAAGTGCTGTATTGTACACCCCTACCTGACCCTTTGGGGATAAAAGGCGTGATGTTATGTTATGTAATATCATCGTAAATCGCGTATATTTCAATTTGATAATTGCGTGTGATATTGTATAGAATCGTCTTGTTGTAAGGCCGGGCACCCACTATCGGCATCGTCTGAGGATTTCAGGTGGCAAATAGCAATGTACATTAACATAATGACAATAAAGTAGAAATTGCTGTGCATATGGTCGTAATAACAAAAATACCGCTTCGGTATGCGTGAGGCTGCTATATGCAGCCTTGAGAATCCTTCGGGATGCATCGGGATGCTTCGGCATCCTCCGGCCGCTGGCCGCCGACTTCATTGATTAGCTTTCTTTTCTTCTTCAGCAAGAGTTGCTGTGAGCACTAGAGCCCAATCCACCATATTAAATACAACTAGCCTGTTACAACTCTGAGACTGTTATGATGAGAAATACGGTATTGAGACATGCTTCAGCCCGATGCGCCATGCTTAAGGTCGCCTCGGCATCCCTAAGAACGTTCCAGCATACTAAAGCATAGTTTCCGACAGTGTGTCCTTGCATGTAAGATGCCGAAGAATCCCGGTCTTTGCCGATGCCGACAGTGGGCGTCCGGCTTAAAGAATCGTTTTACTTAATTTTTCTTTTGTTTTGTCCATCTTGTTTTATTATCTTTATCGCTATATGTACTTTGTTTGTTGATATGTAAATAACTTCTACCTATAGTGCCATTGTGGTATTTTCGTTTCTGGTTTATGCGGTATGGCGGTCGATATAATACGTATAGTTAAAAAAGGTGCAAATTCATTGACTTTCTTTAAAACTCGATGATATTCATGTAGACAATTATAAGTTCAAATATAATGTTTGACGGCACGGCTGGTGCGGTGGCTGGACAACCGGCTGCTGCGCAACGTGTCGTGGATTCGAATTCTGCACGGAACAAGTCTTTGTGTGATCCATAATTTGTTGTTTCGGGACTGTGTGTCATGTGCATGTAAACTGGCTATAGCCAAATGCCATTTAGCGCTTGTCTACATGTAGAATAGAAAACCAAATTATATGGGATTGACGTAAATTTTGACACTTGTCAGTGTCATCCCCATACATTTTGATTTCTACTCTCTCTGTAGACAAGCACTAAAGTGGCGTTTGGATAAAGGAACTGGTATGTTTGTTAACGCACCAACGACACAGGGGATAATCCTAGTGTGGGGCAAGGTTTTATTAATAAAAAAATGTAATAGATAAAATGCTGTTACACATCTTCGGAAAAAGCATACGAAAAGCCGTCCTATTGAGCATGCTCAATCATGTTCAAACATCGAACGCCTCTCGATTCGCTAACATGCCTGAAATGAGCATGCTAATTTTGAGCTTGACTGCCTCGTTGGCCGAGTGGGTCGCCCGGGACGGCAAAGTATAACTGGGTTTTAAAAAAATTCTCAGTAGTAGCACGAAATCTGGAATTGTGCCCGGTATATGGCAATAGGCTCACCTCCTATTACATGTGACTCATAACATAAATAGTGAAAATTGGGTGTTACATTGTACAGCGTCATAATGTGCACCTCTGCCTACTCTTTCGGGGATAAAAGGCGTGATGTTATGTTAAGTAATTTTGAGCAACATTTCGACACACGTGCTACTAACTGACAAGTACCCAATTGAAGCATGCTTTCGTGCTTGATATTAGCTTGTGCATACCTTAAGGTTAATTTTTAACTTATACTAGGTAATTTTAGGTACCTAAACATGTTTATAGTATACACAGCTACATATCAAGCCACACAAAACCAGTATAAATTGACCTTTGAATGCGTAGAAAAATCATACAAATAGACTGGTTATATGCAACCAGTATAAATTGACCGTTCAATGTGCGGAGAGACAATACAAACTGAGACTATCATATATTGGTCGTGCTTCTTTTGATGTGTGTACGTTTTGTATCTCCGTACATCCCATATTAAATTTAAATCAAGTCACCATACATTTCACAAGTTGTAAATTCTCAACAAAATATTTACCTCATTAATAAGATTAATTACTTGAAAAATTGGCTTTCGGCCCAGTTTTACTTATTTCAAAATATCTGACATACTTCTCATGGAATTCCACAGAGACGAAATGTACGATTTCATTTTACGTAACGCCATCTCTCGGTGGAACAATTGAACTACTTCTTTAGGTATATGTGTTTAACGCCATCTATGATGCAAAACGTAAAACAAATTGATATATCACAGAATTTTGGGGTTTATGTTGTTTTATTTGTGGCGTTCGTTATATATATCTTTGGTATTGTAAAATAACAGGGTATTGGATTTTGGACTTTATTGTTTAAGGAAAAAGGTAAAATTTTGGTGTGTTTTGGTGTATTCGGGCCGTTCTTTGTGTTGTTGACACCATGTTATTTCTATGCTATTTTGTATAGGCTATGGTAAACTTTCACGATGTGACCGTGTGCAATTTTCAACTTTATGTACCACAAAATATGATGTATTATTGTTTATCAATGTATGTAATGTGCTAGAATGGAAAGGCGTGTACTAGGCTTTAGCAATGTAATCTAAACTCTATTTCAAATATAATATGCTTGATTTCAGAGGAGCTGATGAATGCTAATGACACATCTGAGCAAGTTTTAGCATTGGTACCGCCTGAGCTTCACAAATATTTGACAGTACATCCAAGAAATAATTCAGGTTAGTTTTAAATACTTCTTTCTTTACACAGTTCCGAAATAAGTTAAAAGTCTTTGAAAAAAATCACCGTTTTTGTAACGTTGGTCCCAAAATGATGCCTTGGGGAACTCCTTAAAAATTTGATTATTGTATGAATGTCGCACTATTCGAGTAAACATAAATAAGTCTCAAGTAAGGGATCACTTCCCCAATCCCAATCAAGCAATTAAAGCTCTGACAACGTGGCTTCATTTGACAGAAGGACAGGACAGGACAGAAGGCATACATCCTTCACAAACGGCGACCTACAAATGACAAATGCTTGCATCTTGCTTAGAAATAATAAAAACTGTTCACGAAGCGGCAACGTTAAATACGCTTTTCTGACGAATGCATGCATTTAACGTAAATACGTGGACAGTAGGCCTTCTCATATCGTCTAACTATCGATTTCAATAACCTATTTTAATCCAAAATATATGAATTGATCTTTATTTTTAACAGAAACTTTATAGAACTATTGTCAAAAATCGATCTCCATTTGGATATTTTCAATTCAGTACTTTCCGTAATCAAAAATAAATTATTTCGACTGTTCAATACAGTACAATATAAAAAAATAATCACACTTTCATTCATTGATTTTATGACCAACTTAATTTTAGTATTAGTCCAGCAAATTTTTACGAAATCAGTATCAGCTGTTTGACGCTGAAAAAACGTGACGTCACAATACACAATCTCGTACAAAATTCATAGAAAACTGTCGTTTTTGACAGTTCGAAAAAAGTATTGAATTTGACTAGTTGGCAAGTACACAATTGATATTAGTCATTGAAATCGACAGAAACGACTAATCCAATCTTCTTCTCTAGCCTTAACCCGTCGAGCGTCCGCGTTCCTTATGCATGCAAGAAAATACATTTATTTGGCCATTGGCACACGAAAACAAGGATCATTACAATAGAAATAAAATAAATACACTCAAAATAAAAACAAAACATTAATAATAGATTTTATAAAAGAGAAAGCAGCATGGAGCATTTTTTCTTATGATCCACCGGGTGCTCATAAGGACGCTCGAGGGGTTAACAAAACAAAAGTAAATTCATTTAGGTACATGATTTTTTCATCAAACTAATAACAATCCTTACAAATATTTCAGGGAACTCGACAGACCGCATAGCTGTAAAGAACATAACTGAAATAAAGCAAGCAATCAAGAGATTCAATGAAGCACAGACTGTATACAATGAGGATATATTCGGACCTGTTCAGAATGATACTGTTATCATTGCTATACAGGTAAGTGACGTCAATAATTTGACAGCGCCCACTGTAATATGCTACCAATATGCTCCCAAATCTGTACTGGGGAGTCCAAATCACACACTTCTATAAAACCATTTTGACTGATAAAACTGTACACAATAACAGACTCAGATATTACGTTAATTTAGTTAACAAAATTGTACCTATATATTACCGACTAGCTACTTCCGCTCGGTTTCGCTCACTCTTCTCGGCGTCTATTAATCGTAGCGTGATATTTTATAGCCTAAAGCCTTCCTCGATAAATGGGCTATTCTACACAGAAAGATTTTTTCAAATCGGACCAATAGTTTCGGAGATTAGAGCGTTCAAATAAACAAACAAAAAAACAAACTTGTTTGTAAACGCACTCACGACATAGGAGAAAATCCTAGGGTGGCAATGTTTTTTTTTTTTTTTAAAAAAACATTGCCACCCTATTTTTAAAATTTCACATTTTTAAAAAAAAAACAAACTCTTCAGCTTTATAATATTAGTCTATACTAATATTATAAAGCTTTATAATATTAGGCTATACTAATATTATAAAGCTGAAGAGTTTGTTTTGGGAATTGGGATGGCTATATCTATATATAGCCATCCCAATTACCCACAACGTACATAAAACAATAACAGAGAAGATACACAAATATACAGAGCTTAAAGAAGTACTACTTACAATCTGGAAAATGAATAAAGTATAATTTTGTGCCGTTGGTGCTTTCCAGTACTTTGATTGCACGTTTGGTGCGGTGGTTGGGCAACTGGCTGCCGCGCAACGTGTCGCGAGTTAGATTCCCGCACGGAACAACTCTTTGTGATCCACAGATTGTTGTTCCGGGTCTGGGTGTCATGTGTATGTGAACTTGTATGTTTGTTAACGCACTCATGACACAGGAGAAAATCCCAGTGTGGCAAGGTTTTTTTTTAAAAAAAACCGCCCTTTTTATAATAATTCAACATCTAAACAAACTGAACAGATTTTATTATCCGAAACACTATTAATAAATAAGTCGATAGCACATCAAAAGGTCTAAAAACATTAAGGCTATTTTCAATAGTAATTAAATTGCTGATAAGTTCAGGGCATCTACTCTTCAAACCAATCTCAATGTCAATGCAATTTCAATCCAATAAAATCTCAATAATTATTAAAAATGTCAACACTATACAACCAAAATCGTAGCTGTTAAAATAGCATTCAGAGTACGGAATATAAAGACAAACTCAATACCATTTAGTTCATTCAATATCCACGCAATACGGATGCAATAGGCGCTAGTGTTGTAACTCAAGAGTATGACAATATCAATGTCGACCGATCGGAATTGGATACAAGAGCAAACCCCAGATGTCACATAAACCATATTTTTATCTTTCATTTTCATAATGACATACAATTGGGTAATTTCCAGGGTACCAGAATTAAAATTCTAATTAGTCCATCAGTTACATAATGAAAAAATATTAGACACGTATTTTTTTATTTTCTCCTATTAAGTTGCAACACTTAGATAAAATGGCGCTAAGTTTAGGAGTCCTAAAGGAGGTCGTTACTTCATAACGTGCTACAAAATGTGGCACGCTATGACGTCACACGATATTTCAAATTAACATATCGTCGAAAGTATTTAATTTTGTGAGAAAAGAAAAATACGTGTCTAAAGTTTTAAATTAATGTACCAGAAGGACATTAAAATAAAATTTAGGAAACTACCCTATTAAAAAGTACCTAGATGAACCGAAGTAGGAATCGTGTTTTTTGGTGATCCAGTGTTCTAAACAAATGACAGATGAGACATGAAGACATTTTATAATGAGAGATTCCACTGAAGGGACTAGTGTAGTAAGCTAAACTAAACTAAAATAAAAGACTTCTAAATATCAAGACAAGTCCATTTGTTGTTAGAGTCTGTATTTCCTGAAGGGTATAACCTAGGTGTCTTACGCCCGAGTGAATAGGTTACTTATGGGACGACGTGCTCCATCGTAGGCTGCATCATTGCTCACCACCAGGCGAGACAGGGGGGACAAACGGCCGATTAAAAAAAATGGTGGCAGTTACGGTGAGTGGACTAATAGAGTATTACGCGTCACTAACGCTATCTCGTGAGCGCAAACCCTCATTCGATAAATAGTTGTTAAAAAATTGTAAAATATTTAAGCTAAAAATTTCTTCTTCGGCATCTTTCGTCTGGCTAAAATCAGTTCTTTTCCACTGAGCCCATCAAGAACTACTTTCTTTGGCAAAAGACGAGTATCTCTCTTCTTTGACTTCTTTACTTTCGCCTTCTCAATTTGTCCTTCCGTCTTCTTCGGTTCCATTCTGGATGGAGATCCTGGGCGATGTTCCATCCAGATCAGCTGAGCTTCTTCTGGAATATTCGCTTGAATACGGAATTTTCTTGGGGTCTGGAATTTGAAGATAGAAAGAATTGTTTTTAAATCACTCCTACATGTCTTTCTTCTACATGTCGTGTTGGCCCGGAGGTTTAAACTGTCAAACACCGCGAGGACACCGGTGACCGCAACCTATTGTTCTTTAATTGTGTCTATAATGACGGTACTCAAAGGGTTAAGACGCCCGCTTCTCACGCATGAGAGTGCGGGCTCGAAACCTACCAACGGCAAGTTCCAATGTGACTTTTTCCGAATTATAAGTACTTTCTAAGTTTATTTTGACACCACTGCAAACGGTGAAGGAAAACATCGTGAGGAAACCTGGGCTTATAATTTCTAATTATAAGTTTGAAATCGCCAACCTGCATTGAGCAAGCGTGGTGATTAATGCTCAAACCTCCGTGTGAGAAGAGTCGTATTACCTGGTACTCATAGCAGTGCTCTTCAGGCGGATCGTATATAGGGATGTGATTTAAAGGATCCTTATCCCGTTCCGGTATTCTCGCCAACAATGATTTAGGCCAGTCCGGTTTTTGGTACCTGATAAAATGTACAAAGCTTTTATACGCGACTTTGCAGAATTTTAGGCAGTCCTCAAATTCAAAGCATTTATTTCAATGAACGCTTAATTAGGTACTTTTGAAACGTCAAAAATTTAATTTTCCGTCCGTCTGTCTATCTGTGAAGCTAGGCGCTCGTTCCAAAGTAGGTATAGTTTCGAATGAAGAAGAACGAGCAAGAAACGCCATCGTTACTCTTTTAAAAAAAATGTTTTTACAGACTTTATTAACTTTAACTATCGTGAGACATCTAAATTAAGTAAAATCGCGGGTTACTCACGTGAATATACTTAGAAAAGCTCTACCAGTTTCGAACCACAGAGGGGTTCTTCCTCATGAGCAGCGTGCGCGTTCGCAGCGACGTCGCGCAGCTCACTGAGAGAGTAGAGCTTTTCTCAGTATATTCATGTGAATAACCCGCAATTTTACTTAATTTTTACAGTCTCATTGATACATACTCCTTGCACCCCTTTTCTGTGGGGGAAACCATCCAATGATTTCTCTCGCTTTGTGTGATACGAGAGGGAGTCTCAGGCTCTTACTGAGTCAACACAACACCGTTCCTACTCTAGTTCGGGGCCGAAGCCCCGGTAACTCACCTGGTCGTCTACAGTGTTACGTTGGTTGATTAATAAATTGTAGACGGATTTATAATACTTGGATTTATTACAATAATGTGCAGGGCGCACGACGTGTACACACACCAGACTATGACAGGTAGACAGCGGCGTTAGTGAATAGTGTTCTACCTTATATAACACATTATAGTGAGGAGGCCACTACTTACTAATTAGTGATGTACATATCATACATGTAACACTCTGGTCTCTTACACTTCTATCATACTGAGACCTATTGTTCTATTTTGTCGTATCAAAAAAGCTTTTTAATGAATGTATTCAAATTATAACATCCTTTGACTTAAAATATTCTATATCCTTCCTTAAGAAACTCCTTGTTCCATGCTTCGGCACGAATGCGCCGGCTCGACCGAAATGATACCACGGTCTTACAGAAAACCGACGTGAAACAACGTTGCGTTTCGTCGTCTGAATGAGGTTATCGGAGGTCCAATCCCCCCCCCCCCCTGCCCAATCTTCCCAATCCCTGAATCCCCTACAGGCCTGAATCTTCAAATTCCTCATTCCGAAAAGGCCGGAAGCGCACTTGTGTGTACAACGCCTCTGGTGTTCAATGTGTCCTTGGGCGTTGCCGATTGCTTACCATCAGGTGATCCGTCTGCTCGTTTACTGGCTTATACCATAAAAAAGAACGCTTTAGTATATAAAATGATTACCACACTAAATCCCAATGGTCTAAATAAACTGGTTTCGGGCCAATGATCTTCATCCACCGAAGTATATCGCTCCTGAAATAAGAATATAAAATTTTGATAAGAATACTGATATAATATAGGTACAGCTAAGGAGTGGAATTCTTTGCCAGAGTCTGTATTTCCTGAAGGGTATAACCTGGGTGTGTTCAAGGCCCGAGTGAATAGGAAGGTTGCTTATGGGACGACGGGCTCCATCGTAGACCGCATCATCGTGCACCAATAGGCGAGATAGTGGTCAAGAGCCGACTCAACTTACTTTAATAGGGATGATGACAGAGTATGAAAATTAAAAATATAATTAGTCTTTAGGGAACAGAGTGGAAAGTTCCCTAAGATCGGAAAAGGAGGATCCTCCGACCAAGCGAGGTGATCGTGCCTGGCGGGCTTTCTGCCCAACAGTTGTTCGTTTTCTATCCGTGTTAATTTGCATGTAAACTTTGCACGTGCGTTGTAGGATTTTTGTGACGTTATCCGTTGACATGTACCATGTGTCGCCACTAGTCCGTCAGTTAGGTAATGAAAAATATTAGAAAAGTATTTTTTTATTTCGTCGTATAATAAGATAAAACGAATCAAAGTTTAGGAGTGGGGGGTAAAACGTCATTTCAACGTATTTTTTTAAGGGGGGAAAATCATCGAATGACTGCTACCGCCTGGGTGAGGCGGGAGGGAGTGTTAGACTCTTACTGCCTAAAAAC